TATGGCCACCAACGTGTTCGTTGTTACAAAGTTAAACACCACAACACTGGGTTTCAGCAATTTGCACATAGCTTCTCCCATCAGCCAGTTTCCAATAAAGAGTTCAGGTAACAAGAATGGGAGACAAAGCACAGATCCGATGTCGGAAATGGCCAAGTTCATAACTAAACAATACGTGCTGGTCTGAAGGCGACGAGTACGACTTGAAATAATACACACGGCGACATTGCCCACCAAGGCGAAAACGATGATTACAGCGTATATTACAAAGCGAAATATCTTGAGAGCGATCGGCTCCAAATAAGGCTGTAAATAAGACTCTGTTGCATTTGGGTAAGCAGTAGATGCATTCAGTTCATTTTCCATGTTTTGATCGCTGAAGCGGTTTTACTCGTTGTGTACTTTTGTCCACTTCTTCCTCGAAGATTCTTGAAGTTATTTCATAAAACTCTTGGTACCTGCAGCAAATCAAAGGAGATATTTTACTGATTAAATTATCTGTCAATTACCTTTCAGTTCTACAAACGATATGTTATATTGAAACTAAATTGATTACTCGTGAATACGTTTTGAGCTTGGTAAGTTTGTAAAATACAACCAAAAGCGAGGAAAGCTTGCCGATGATAATTAGTTTAGAGAAAAATTTGAATAAAAGCGAGGAACCAGTAGGGGTACTCATATTTGATCAGTCGTGCTGTGTGTTGACGCATCAAGAGCGTATTTTCACTTTTTCCTTTTTAAGGAGAAATGCAACGAAAATTTAGTTGGTATTGTCCTGCAACTAAACGTATTACAAATAATTCTCCGCTTCCAACAAGAGAGAGTTCATTTTCCTACCCGGGAAGAAAAAGTTACTTGGTAGAAATGATACGGATCTAATACGAAGCTGTTCAATTTCGCGTTTAACCACTGAGTATTTGAAAAGAATTGTCTACAACCCCTTGTTCCCGGAGCGCTTTTACGTAATTCATGAAGAACGCCCATAAAAATATTTTTCTAGAAGCATCCATTAAAGATGGCCACACTAGGTGTTAAAAAGTGTTTATGTCGCCGCCGGTTGTGGCTTCCTGAAATATTTGTTTTCTTTTGTGTCGCGCATGAAAAAAGATCCTACACAGACACTAATTATAATATTAATTAAGGGCCATTTTGAGGAAGAGGAAATTGTTGTTTTTGGGTTGGGTTATTTCCTCAAATTACTAGAAACACACCACAAAAATTAATATGAAAGTCATTGTGCTGTTTAAAAAGAGTTACCACACAGAGATCAATCAATCAAAGGGTCCGTAACAACATTCAAGAAAGAGAAACTGAAACTAAGAAATTCTAAACATCTTTGGCATTGATTCATCTTTAAGAAATACCAAGACAAAGACAAAGCCAAAATCAACAAAATAATTACTTCAAATAGCAGGTAATCATTTTAATCGTAGCATGTCACGAAACAAAAAGATGCACAGAGAAGAACGAATGATTGAGGAGATTTCGATATTTTGAGCAATGTTGTTCTCTCTCGAAGAGTCCACGAATTGCAGAGCACCAACATCACCAAAACCACCCATTTGCCTATCAAAACTTGAAAACCTTATTTCGACCTCATCCAAAGATGCAGTGAAGAGAACTCATTTTTTTAAAATTTGCGGCAAAATGGGCGAAAGTGTTCTCTCATGTCACGGAATGGTCGGCGAGTTCAAGAATTGTTTTACAACATCATATTCTAAACTATGCCAAGATTCAGAAAACTTATTTCATCTGAAGGCCTTTATTTGATCTGACAATGTCCCACACTCCTCATTTCGTGGGAATTACTGCCAAGCGGATGAGCTACATTAAATTGTTTTTCTTCAGCACGTTCCTCAAACTTAGTACAATGAGTGCTGAAGAAATCGGCAAATGTGACGAAAACTCATTTCCTTGCACTCAAGGGGTAAGTGGTTGGTAAACACATTCATTATTCTTGTAAGCAGAATAAAAACATCATAAGACAATCAACACAAGCAATAGGAAATGGCGGAATGTTAAAACGTCCAATTAACTTCTAAAATTAATGCAGGAGGCTTTCAATGTTAAACTATACTGAAATATACAACCAATAACATTCTTTCGATCTTTTCTCTTATATTTTCCCTCTCGTACCATTTCCTTTAGCATACGCTCTGGACGGTGTTCGCGGATGCTATCATCAAAATTATTCCACTTGTCATTTTATATTCGAACGTGGGTTTTTTCCAAATCACTGTCATTAACTAGAAAACAGCTCGATCTTAATATAGTCTATTTTTCACGGTGTTGTAAAGAAATAATGGGCTAACAAATGCTTCAAAATATCAACAATTCGAACAGAACGTCGATTGCTTACATGACACAATTCCGCTTAACATCTCTAATCGCTTAATAATTCTTCTTAGTAACACGCGACCCGAAACTCATACCAAACAGTCTGTGTCTAGTCTCCTTATTATCGATCTAATTCGTGCTTGATTGTCTTAAGATTAATGAGTTCATCAAATTTCCGAATATGCCTTGCGATACGTTTCTATTCGCTCTCTTACTAACCATCAAACTCATGGTGCATCAAGTTGTCTAAAAGAAAATCTACTACATTTCTGTCCATACACGTTCAGCTATCTCTTTATTGTACGAGAGTCATTAATGTCCCTTGATACCAAGCGTTTTGCGACCCAAAAGAACACAAAAACATAGCACGAACCTGTTCCACAGTGGCCTGATTACGACGTACCGCGAAAACTGGATGCGAAAGATTACGTCGCACCTGTATTCCACGAGAAAACGTTGAACTTTTTCTTTATGACCTGTCAATTTTAGAGTGCTGGCCTTCCAATTTTGAACAGAGCTGAAGTAGAAGACCTAGAGAGCGACAACGCTTCCGAAAGGTTTGATCTTCCTGGCAAGCCAGAGAGATGAGTCTACAGACAGAAGACCACCACTTTACGATAAGACTCTCGTTTTCGGAAGAGACATTTTCTTCGATCCCATGCAATTGAGCTACAAAATTACAGATGCGCTATTAAAGGCCACGTCTCAAATAAGTTAGCTGTTAAAACCCGTATGTAGTCTCTGTACAGTAGCAATTCAAGATGTTTTTAGCAACAAATAATGGACTCAATCATTACTTGTCATTGATTGATGTTTGTCTGTGAAGTCAAGTTCTGTTTGCGCTGGATCCGTAGTACGACCATATGTTTTCTGGCGTAGACACAAAACTACCGAAAAGACTCAAGTAATATTGACAGATTCCCGACACCAAAGACAGAAAATAAAACACATAAAAATAAGAGAGAAAAGTTCCTAAGGTAATTTGGTGCACAACGTGTACAAAACTCCTCCACCACAATATTGCTTTTAGTTTCCACTACAGGTCAACCATGTTCCACTGCGCGTGATTTTAAAAGAGCAGAAACTCTCCTTTGTCATCAAACGCTACAAGCTGTATTAAAGGATCAAAAAAAATTCCGAGCAACGCCACGAATATGGGAAACAGACAAAGCTAGTCTATAGGAACAGGATCCCTCAAAAGACTGTACTTCCACTTATCCTCATGAAAGATCTCTAATCGGAAAGTTCCCATCAAGAACACCGAAAGATATCTTAACGAGCCCCGACATACTGTCTGAAATAATTTCTTCACTTGAGAATCCACAAAAATTTCCCTCTTTCATTGTTGAATCACAAAGACATAATGGTTTTACGAAAGGAGCCACACTCTTCTAGGAACCCCTCTGCCGAAGTGTTGTTCAACAAACGAAAACGAGAGAGAGTGAGAATGAGAGGCAAAATTCTGGTAGTTGTGTGTTCCGTGAATTTGGCATCGTCTCACAATTGTTATCTTTCAGTTTTTTTTCTCAACTATCATACCGGAAAAGGCACTGGGAAAAGCCTTAAAATGATTTCAGTACTTCTGCAAAAACGACCTAAACGACCTAAACTGTGACTCATAAGAAATTTAAAAAAAAGGAAAAAATAAATATAACAATTAGCGAGCAAAGGACTCTCAAATACTTAAAGATGGTGTTGAAGGATCGTGTGAGTGGTCAACTTCTCTATCAATCGTCACCAGATAATTCTGTTCTTTCAACTACTAGAAAATTCAATCATTACCAACTAAAGCGTCAGGATAATGTGCTATCAAAGAAAAAATAAAGCGTAGAAAACGATTAAATTTGTGACCTTTCTAAACAAGAGTATGATATAGATTATTGTTTTCAAATTTTCCCAGGAGTTCTGTCAAAAGCGTTTAACGATAGGATGGGAACCTAAACTCACAAAAAAAGTGCGTGACAGTCCTTTTAAATGTGAAATGGGTTCATTCCTTAGCGAAAATTAGTTCTTGACCCCTTAAAAGTACCGCACAGTGTAAAGATAAAGTGCCGTCGCTCTCTCTGATATGCACATTGCTTACTTCTTAAGCACACAATGTACGCGTTCCGCCGTAACTCCACTACCATAGAAGGGTTGACCTATGTAAACAACATTTTAACCGCGTGGCGCATACCGCTAAACGACTCTTTCAGCTATTGTTGGAAAGATTCGCAATCGTGCTGAGCTTCCTAGCGGTATATATCTTCAAAAATGCAACTAAATCCTTTTGCAAACAACTCAAGCATATTTCTCTTTCCGCAATGAGTTTTTCTTCCGCTTCACACCAGTCGCGCACCCTTTCCTAGATGAAAGGCTAGAAGAGTGGAACAAAAACGTACTTATGTCTGATTGCTGAATTCAGGAAATAGTTGAGTTGAGGTAAACACAAGGGTCATGCAACGGTCTGAATAAAGAAAAAACTGAAAGAAGTGAGAAATTATTCGACATTAAAGCGCGTCGATATGTCGCAGTCAGCTATGTTTAAGTGACCTTCTAGTTTGTTCAAGAAACTAAAAAAAAAAAAGGCATAACATACGACATAAAAAGAAGAGCTTATGAAAGAAGGCCTTGCATTTTTGTCCTATAGTGCCCAAATCGGGTTAAAGCTAAACGAAAAGAGACAAAAAGTAAAATAGTGTAAATTTACCTAATCATTTCTAGATAGTCATCATAAAAATAAAATAAAAAAAAGGTTCGCGAAGGTCGGAGTCGAAATCAATTTAAAATCATAGTCTGCAAAGGTAAAGTCACTGCAATATCAACCTTCTACCGCCGAGAAAAGCTTAAGAATGAACTCAGGACGGCTCGCATCATTCTAGTTTACAAAGCTGATTTTTCGTAACTGAAACCTTTCATTCAAATCAAGTTCTGAAGGAAAGGCTCGCCGGCTAACGGCAAAATTGTAAAACTTGATCAGTTTCAGTAATTTCACCGCTAAATGGCAAAGATATCCTTTCGATCTTCAAACGCGACGATTTTCCACGGCTAGCCTGGTTTCAGAAGTTATCACAACTCTGGCTGATCACAATTAAATATCAATCACTGCTACGAATGTTTTTTCGCCAGGTAAAAGGAAGAAAACGTAAGCCCTTAAGACGAAAGTGAACCCTGGCAAAAAGTGGTTTAAATGAACGTATCTCTTTCACAGTAGAAGAAATTATAACAGCAAGATATACCAACTAACATGTCTACATCATGAATTCGTACCTTAATCACGCTTCTGGCGCTTCTTCTGACATTAACAGTCTGTCCTCGATCTCCTTGTTAATCAATCACTACTCTATTGAGATGCGTTCACTTCACCGACCGAGAACATCTAATTTAGCTTGACCGTTGAAGTATTTCTTTATCAGAAAATTAAATAACTCCTAACACCTTATTTTATAAAAAACCCTGGACGAGACGACGTATTTCCTGCGGAACGGCAGAACCTTGACGTAAAAAAACTGCCCACCTCCGCAAAGTTTATACAAATTAACAACGCGTAACCTAGAACACCGCAACGTCACTTCTTATTCATAGGCTATAAATGTCTGGGATGGGCGCGAAGGTTCTATCTGAGGCGAAAGGTCAATTCTTCGCATTCTCTGACATCATCAAGAAGATGAGTCAAGTGTTGCCACACTATGTATACCAAACGTCGCATTTCACTGGAAACCGTTTCGAAACGTAGCAAAAAAAGATGGTTTTGCTTTCCATGAGAAACAAGACGAAAGATAGCGGCATAGGATAAACAAGTAAACCTCCCATGTTGTGACGTAAACTGCTTAGAAACGGCGAAACATTTATAGTAAGGAATTCACCATGGCTTCTCTTGTGTCTCACTGCGTAATTGGAATGTTTCATGCGTCGACTTGCAAAAGAGGTCAACTGTTTCATACTGCTAAAACGGTGAGCTTTATCAACCATATATTTTTCTCGATGTCAAAATCTCGATCCAATCTATGGTATGCAATATTTACAGATCAAAAACACGCGTAGCCGCAAACATGTAAACGAATACCCTGATAAGTAGGCCAAAGTTTAGAACTAAAATCCTATTAGCTTACTCTGATAAGAGATCATTAATAGAACACTCTGT